TACTATTGAGGACCAACCAGTGGCATGGTGGTTAAAGCAGCTGGATCTCATATGGTGATATATGTGGTTCAAGTCCTGAACCCAGCCACTTGAAAAACACACTGCGCACATAGGAGTTTGTGTACAAAATCCTGAAAGGAACAAAAAATGGAGGAGGGATTGTAGCATGACCATTCCCCCCTGGATGTTTTCTTATTTTCTCTTTCTCTCTAGTGAGCACATCCATGCCCTCTAACAGATCAAAAGAAAACAAAACAAAAAAAAGAGTTACTAAGAGTTACTACAGATAAAGCCCTGGGAACAGTGCAGGGCCCACAAACACGACTGGCCGCTGTGATTGTTATCGGTGTTACTCTTATTCCTCCCTCCAACTCTAAGACCCCCCATTACTAAAAGCCCTCTGTGTACATGCATGTGTGAGTGCATGTGTCTGCGTGTATGTATATTGATAAGAATGTGTACATGGTGACAATTTGTGCTCTCATTCAGGGGTAATTCTGCCCTTGACTAGAAGCTTCTCTCTTCTGCCTGAAGACAGAAACAAAGGGTTGCCACCAGAGACCTAGCAGTGACACAGCATCCCCACAAACGGGTCAGAGTGTCCCCGACTGAGAAGGAGGGGGTACCCACTGGGTCCTTAGTCCTCGTCCTCCTTCACCGTCATTGCTCACCTCCCATGTGACAGAACACAGAACTGAGACTACGGAGTTCTTTTTTTTTTTTTTCCTTATTTTTTTTTAATTTTTATCTCATTTATTTATTATTATTATTCACCAGGGCGAGAGAGGAGAGAGACAAAGCAAGCCACCAGGTCCAGGACTTGAACTGTGGTTGACCATGTGGGAGTCCAGTGCCTTAACCACCACACCACCTGCTGGCCCCCTTTTTTCTTTTTCTTTTTTTTTTTAAGAATTATTTAGTTTTGGGGACGAGCAGGTGGCATGGTCGTTAAGGCACTGGACACATGGCTGACCATGGTTCGAGTCCCAGACCTGGTGGCTTGCATTCTCACTTCCCTTCTTTCTCTCTCTCTTTCTGTGTCTCTTTCTGCCAAATTAAAAATAAATGAATGAATAAATAAAAATGTAATAAATAATTATTTTTAAAAAGATTTATTTAGCTTTATTTATTTATCCTTTTATTTTATTTTAACCAGACACACACACACACACACACAGAGGGAAAGTGAGAAAGTAAGCCACCAGGTCTGGTACTCAAACCGTGGTCAGCCATGTGGGAATGTCCAGCACCTTAACCACCATGCCACCTGCTGACCCTGGGGCTGCTGAGTTTTAGAAAGGGCTTTTTCTTTTTCTTTTTTCATGTAATTTGCCCATTCTTCTACTGATGGCCACTTGTGTTGTTTCCAGTTATTTTTCTATTACATCAGTGCCACCTTGAACGTGCACTCTCCAGACAGAGAGAGACATAGAGACAGAAAGCGAGAAATCACCCCCCAGGGGGGATGGTCACGCCGCAATCCCTTCTCCTCCATTCTCCTCTCGGGATCTTGGGTACGCACGCACACGCGCCCAGCGTGAGTTTTAAGCTACCGGGTCTGGGACGCGAACCGCAGTCGACTACGTGGGAGTCCAGCGACATAGCCATTACGCTAACTGCTGGTCCCAGAAAGGGCTTTTTCTTGCATGTCCTCAAACTCTCACTGCAGGAAGGGGCCTCTGGGGACAGACGCTTCCTGCACCCTTCAGGTACTGAGCAAGCACAGAGGGCTTATTTGACCATGCAGGGGTCTGACTTTGCCTCTGGAAGACGCATCTGAAGTTGCCACCTGCCTCCTAGTGCTGCGTGAACACATGCTCAGTGAGCACTCAAGAAATGGTGGCTATTCTTGCGACTGGTATTGATAGAAAAGCCACGCTCCCCAGACCACAAATCTCAGGCTGATAACAATGATGGCCAGCCCTTACAGTGTTTGCTCGGTGCCAGGCACCGGGCCACACACCTCCCGTGTACCGATTCATTTGCTCTTCATGTCCTGCAAAGTAGACTCTCAGATGACAAAACGGGGACACTGAGAAGTGAAAAAACTCACTAGCAGGTCAAACAGCTAGCAAGCGACAGGCCTCACGTTTGAACCCAGGCAGGCTAAAAGGTGTATTTGAAGAGGAATTGGGGCACTCCAGCTGCACTGTACCCCCAGTATCTGTGGCTTTGGACAGGACACAACTCTGGGCCCTCTGGCCTCTACATTCCAGGTTCCCATCTCTTGTTCTGTATCCCGCATGGCCTGGGCTCATGCTGAGCCCTGGTGTGGGAGCCAGGAGGCAGCTCCCCGTGGAGAGCACTCCCCAGAAAGAGTCTGTTGTAGGAAAGGGGGACCTGTGCTCTGGGTCCTGGGGCTGCAGTCACTTGCCATTCCTGGGACGGTCAGTGTCAGTCGGCTACAGATTTCTGTCCTGAAGCATCTAGCTTCCTTGGTCATGGGAAGGACAATGGTACAACCCTAAGGGACCCAGGGACAGGGGAATGAGAGAGGGTTTGAAGGGACCCAAGGATGGTGATGACTCAAGGGGCTTTTGTGAAAGTGGCCAGAACTGGAAGGGAAGCAGAGATGAATAAGCCACTCTTCCAGAGTGGCCCTCAGGAAGAGAAGGGAAGGATTTAAACAGGAGGCTAAGGGGACTTGCTTTTTCACAGAACAGCTTTACATCATCAAAGACCAGGACTGGGGTAGGACCAGGGAAATTCAATGGGCACTAAAATACTGTGGAGTGTGGGACAGCAAGTCAGAGGCCTGGCCTGTGTGGCATCCAGACAACCCTTTGTACCCTTTCTAGACAGCCCCCTCCTCAGGCTCCCAGACCTGTCTGGCTGCTGAGCTCCCAGGAGGTCCAAGGGGTGTGACCTCCCTCCCTCCAGCCTCCCTCCCCCCTTTCCCCCAGGCCAGCCCAGGGCTGCTATAAAAGTGGCCCAGGCCTAGCTCAGCACACCTGGCTGGACCCCAGCCCCTCCTACACCTCCTCAGGGGTCACATCCACTCTGCTCCACACTCCTTCTGGCAGCTCCATGCGGCCCCTGTGGCTCTGCTGGGCACTCTGGGTGCTGGCCCTGGCCGGCCCCGGGGCGGCCCTGGGTGGGGAGCAGATCCTGGGCAGCCTGCTGCAGCAGCTGCAGCTGCACCAGCCCCC